AGCTGTTTTTTTATGTGTTTGTATTAAGTGTAGTTATTATTATCAATATCACAATATCATACTGTTTTCAAATACTACAACTAATAACTAACTTTCTGTACTCTAGTGATATATAATCGATAAAATAGGCCAAAACCATCTAGCTTCCCTAACCCGAGTTTGACATATATGACGTAAAAGTGTAATCCAAAAGTGCGGACCCTTTTAGTATCGTCATAGGATCTCATCTTTATTATATCTCAATGATTGAAAAAGTTCGTATTCCCCGCTCTACTTTGTGACGTCGCGCCTTGCTTATGTGCAATGCGCAAAATAGCGCGGTTATAAGCAGTTACATTGTTTCGTGGATCTGTGGATCTCTCTTTTTAACTACAGGCATTTGAGGAAACCTCTGGTGCGCAATCAGCATAGTGCACCGACAGAGACGCGACGAGCCCTAGTGCAGTGGCGTACTAAGAAAATAGAGATTTTAGTTTTAATTATTCACATAATTGTGTTAAAACAAAAGTTATCTAATATAAAATACATTATTATAATTCTTTAATGAACAAGTAAAAGAGTGGCTTTGTATATTTAATTAAAATATTTCTAAAACGATAGGTACTAATATTGATAATTATAAACTAAAACGAAAAATTCATTTATCTTCAACCATTTACTCCACAGTAAATTCTACACAGTATAAAATTTTAATTTAGCCAGTTTTAGACATAAAATTCCATAAAAACAGAGGAAATGCTTCTCCAATTAGGTAAGACCACTGTGAAAAAGAGAAAAAAACATTAATTTTCTCTTCCAGCAAAAGCGCTGAACCGAAAGGGCGGAAACTAAAATAGAATTAGGGGGTTTCATTCTCAGCCAGTGCCGTAGATGTTAATTAATGGTGAGACTACAGATCGTCTGCAACTTTGCAGATCTGCAAATATGGCGGCAACTTTGCAGATCTTGCAAATATGGAGGACTTACAGATGCAAGTATCAAGTTTTCATATTACAAAAAATATCTGCAAATTCGAAATATTTATTGTGGTTTATTACCCCCCAACAATATCCTTAAGGATGAGATTATAGGTAGAAGCTCTGCAAATAGGTACTTGCATCTGAAAATATCAGTTGCAGTTGCAAAAGGGAAACATGATATTACAAAAACGTGTTTTCATTTTTTGCGTCTGCAAATCATCTGTAACTTTGCAGGAGGTTAGAACATCCTACACACTTGCAGACTGTCAATTTTTACTTTACTTTTTTTTAATAACCATAAAGTCTTCTGTTCCTTTTGATTGAATACAGTTCGTGGTGTCAGATTATCGAGTTTTTAGACATAGTAATGGATTTGGGTTTAGTGTTGTTGGGGATAATAAACTACAATAAATATTACGAATTTGCAGATATTTTTTGGAATACGAAAACTTGCATCTGTAAGTCCGCCATATTTCAGATCTGCAAAGTTGCCGCCATATTTGTAGATCTGCAAAGTTGCAGACGTTGCAGAAGGCTAAATATGTATGGTTCGAATCCAACTCTGAGACGTACGGTATTTTTAAAATGTTTATTACTTTATATTCAACTACAAACTACACTATAATTTCTTTAGCACGAAAACCCTATTCATTTTTAGAATTTTTCGATTTAAGTTTAATGCTCTAAATATAAGTTTTTAAAATGCATTGCAATGCAAGTGCTATCAAAATTGTTAAAAACTTCACACACAATTTCCTCTCTGCTAAACCGCCCAGATAGTCCGGGGCTCCCGGAGAATGGCCATCGGGGATTCGAAATAAACAGTCTACAGCTCAGCCGGTATAAAGGACGCACCGACCCCCCCTCTCCTCATCCCTTCGCCCGTTGTATAAACACAGCCTAATGCTCCGGTTCTTCGTCTTTCTCTCTCCCTCTGTGTCTATTTGCAATGCAATTTGCCCCACAGAAATTACAATTAACAACCGAAAGCCGACCGCGGCACGCTTCGATGCTTCTTACGGCTTACGACTTACAGTTTTACGGTCGCTTACGTTTACGCGTCTTTCGCGGTGAATTTGAAACAGCGAAATTAAATCGTGCTGAGTTGTCGCTTTTTTGGTTGGTTAAATACAGAATAAAAGTGGTGACATCACGTTTTTTTTGGTGGTAACACTGAATAAATTTAAAGACATATGTCATAATTGATATTAGCGACAATGGACCAATGAAATAGAGTGACAGAATGCCTGTCAATAGGATAAATTTTATTTTTCATCTCACCAGATTGTGGACGAGACAATAACAAAATGAAACATAAAATTGTTGTTATAAATTCTCCCGAGTGAGATGAACAATTAAAATGGCTGCGCCAAAAATTATTGACATAACATGCACATTGGCATTCTACCCTACTCCAGTTCATTGCAATTGACTGTTAATCGTGCCGTCAAAACAAGTATTTGTTTCTATACAAAACAAGTTTCCATGACAACGATGTCAGATGTCACTATTATCTGTCATACTCTCGTAAACAAATAATTCACGAATATTTTTAGTTTGGTTCTTTATAATAATAAAGCAATAAGAGCAGAACATAATTTATAATGTATCTATAAAGATAGTTTTTTTTAACTATTTTTTTGAGTAAACCTCGAACTGCAGTAAATATTTGGTGCTACATCAATCCTTATTCATTTTTTTCTATAAGTATACGTAGGTATGTTGTTTTTGATGCTTTTACATTTACACTAAAATTATTCTACAATTTCTGAATGTATTGAAACTTTTAAAGAGAAACAAACAGAAACAAATTTAATCTAAACTTCTAAAGACAGCACAACAAATTTTAGGATAACTACTCTAAGATAATGTCAACGTAAACAAAGCACAAATCTAGTCATATTCAAAGTTGTGAAGAACAGAGTTGCCATATATGCATTATTCAATACAAAAGTACCCGATATGCGATAAAAAATTCCCCTTGTCTCGTACCACCGAAATCTCAAGCTAACTTTGGCACAATGACTATAATGACAGCATTCCTCACACATTCCATTACTGCCTATTATTTCTAGATTCAACTAGGGTAAACCACCCAGTTATTGGGCACTTAAAAATTTAAAAAAAATTGAGACCATGCTGAAAAGATATTTTTCCGCCTAGTGATGGTTTGTTTTAATCCATAATATATTGGCCTTACATTGTAGTATTCACAATTTTAAGTAGGAAAAAATATAATTTTTAACAATGTAAAAACTAGGATTATTTCAAATTTAGTTATTGGACAATTTTTCTAGTTTTTGGACATACTCAATCCAGTAATTGGACATTCAAAAATCAATAAGCCAAGTGGTATGGTTTTTGCTTTTATTTATTAAGGTATAATTTCATGAAGGTTTATTCAAGTCTACCACTATCAAAAATTATTGGAAATTTTTGTAAGTATGCTTATACATAGTAAAATGCTCGTCTATTTCTTGTTCCTCGTCTTCAGTATTTTGTTTAACGTCTAGGTTTAAGTTATTTAGATCATCACTAACTAATTTCTCACTATAAAACACATTTACTTCCGGTCTTTTCTGATTTTTATTTTGACAATTTTTAATCAAATTTTCGTCAGGTAAGTTCGCATCATGCGAGTCGTCAGTTTTTGTGGTATGTTTTTCTCTTTCTTCTTCTAAATAGTTATTATTGTTTGCCAAGTTCACCAGCCCCTCGATTTTAAGTATTTGCTCTCCACTGAAGCCATCCATCTCCCTCATTTTTTAAATCATCAAAGCTCCTCACCAATGATAGTAAGCACTTTCCTCTTTGTAGCAATTATGGCACATAAATAAATCGTCATCATCCATATCGTGAACATGCTCCTTGTGTTTTTTTTTGGAATACAGAGACTGTGAAACTTCTTTTGGCAAGAGTTACATGTCCAGTGTTGGTTAAGCGTTTCTTAGAAACGGAACAGATTGCATCTATTTTATTTTCATTTGATTTACAGACTTTCTTATTTTTCAAAATAGTTTTAGTTGCAGCTTTCTCTTCCCTTCTACGTTTTCTTTCAATCTTTTTATTCTCCTCCAACTTGATAGCTCTTTTAACATCAAAATTTTCTTGGTAGAGTCGTGAAGTTATACCAAAAGATACCCGCTCTACTTGACGCTTGTTATTTATTTGCAGGTAGTTCTGAATTTTCAGTTTCTTGTCTCATTGTCTCATTGTCTTAATTGTCTCACAAACAAGGAATCTGGTGCGTGATAAATCATTTCCTTTCTTGATAATGACATCGGCAAGCACATGAACCACCTTACTCTTTTGAGGGTTCGGTCATGGTAATCGAATCAACTTCTGAATTGGAATTATTTTCATTGAGGTTTTCAGGTTCATTTTTGAACTCAGTATCTAATTGAGTGAGGGCATTCTCCACCTCTGTTTCACTGGGGTTTCCCAAGTATCTCCACGTCCTATGGAGGGCTAAAAATTCAGGAGTGAATCCTTTGTTGATGAGAATGGCATCACATAACTTGAATCTAGTGATTATGTCACATCCAATAAAGTTAATGAACATCTTGCCATCCATCTTGACGGGATCAGAATTCTTTTCCTGCAAATCAAATAGGTAAAAAGAATATGAAAAAACAACTGTACAAGTGTGATTTCTAAATTTACCTCAATAACTTCATTGAGCTTTCCCAAACACTTTGAATAGTCGATATCATCTGGATTAAATGGGTATAGTCCGCAAGCTTTGAATCCATTTATTAGCGTCTCTGGTTTGGCTACTTCTATCACCACGTTTTCTAAGAGGGGAGCAAAAGAGAATTTATTGAGAACTTTCCCTGGATTTTGCTCATAATAATTCTAACGGCTATCTTCCTTCCCATCTTTATTGGTCTAAATACCGCTACATCACAAGTTTGCAAAATTCGAGTTGCATTTGGATAGAGGGCAATCAGTTCTACATTTAGCTCACTGCAGAGAAGAGTCAGTTCATATCGCACACTCAGTAATAAAGTGGCATAACTCAAAATTTGCATGTTTAAACTTTTAATCGTAAAACAGCACAAAATGGCGCCCTCCATATGTGGAGTTTTTTAAATGACGGTGCTACTCTAACTCAAGACGTATTGCGTTGGAGTAACACCATCATTTAAAAAATTGTACATATGGAGGGCGCCATTATGGACTGTTTTACGAATAAAAGTGTAAACATGCAAATTTGAGTTATGCCACTTTATTACTAAATGTGCGATATGTCAAGTGGGACCTATGCCCATCCAAGAATAATACAACTGGAAACTGAAGCTGGTGTTCAACTAAGTGTGGATGAAATATATTTTTAAAATAATCATAAAATGTCATTCATCCATTATCAGATCGGTCGATTTCCCAACTTGGATTCAGTGTTACGGCTATTTTCTCTGGAATTTTTTTGTGGGATATATTATCATTAAGGGACATGTCATTCCTGCAGCGGAAAAAGAGAACATTACAGTAATATTTTCTTTTTGTGATCCTTTATCTATGGATTAAACATTTTTCACGCCTTTCCCTGCGAAAACTTTTCCAGTGCTAAGACAAATTTGGAAGCCTCTATCGTCCCCATTAAAGCTTCGGTAAGGATCACTAATATCAATATATTTTAACTCCAGATACTCTTGAATTTCTCCAAACCATTTTCGTATATCTGCTTCAGAAACACAAGCACTTGCGTTACTAACTGCTCCACTAGTTCTTTGTACCATTGTCGGATGTCTTCTTAGTAAGGCCCAAAAAGACCGCCAATGAAAACACCAATTCTGAATCTTGTCTAGCAGAAATAAAAAACTTAGATGGAAAATGTTCGGATTTACCTTAAACCAACAATCACTGGGTCTATTATTTTTGAACGGATTCAGTCGTGGATTTTCGATTAGAAACTGCTGAACACTATTCAGGATATCATCTTTTTTTCTTGGAAAACCACTATTCGCTAACTCTTCTATCCACCTGTAAGAATAATAACAATGTGGTTTTTACGTTTACGGGTACAACATGTTATGTAAAAGGCATAAAATAGATAAGAAAAACTAAAAATTAAACCACTTTTTTATGTCACTCGATTTCTTATGTCATAAGAGTCAATTTTATTGTTAAGTTGGCTGCATTTCCCTTGTATAGAAGTTCTCTATTACTTACTCTTTTGTTTTCATTTCTTCTTATTTTTCTTTTTCTTTTCCCTTCTTTGTTTCTTCTCTTCCTCTTTGATTTTTTTACTTCTTTTTCCTTCTCCTTCATGTCTTAGTTTCGTTTCTTCTACTTCTTCTGCCTCTCTATATAGGCTCAATCCCTATGGATTTTATTTCCAGAACGATATGCTTTTTTGCGATTTATTTTGTATAAAAAAGAATAATTTTCGTGTGTCTGACTTTTATCATCACTTTTCCCACTTCACTCGGTAGGTATTCAGCTTTAAATTTTATATTTTAATTATTATTAGAACTTTAAGTAGGAAGGTCATTTCAATAATGGATATTTTATGAAATATACTTATTTTCTTCTTTTCATTTTCTTCTGTCCATTATATACTCTTCTTTTATCTCTCTTTCATCTCTCTTTCATCTCTCTTTTATCTCTTTTTCATCTCTTTTTCATCTCTTTTTCATCTCTTTTTCATCTCTTTTTCATCTCTTTTTCATCTCTCTTTCATCTCTCTTTCATCTCTCTTTCATCTCTCTTTCATCTCTCTTTCATCTCTCTTTAATCTCTCTTTAATCTCTCTTTCATCTCTCTTTCATCTCTCTTTCATCTCTCTTTCATCTCTATTTCATCTCTCTTTCATTTCTCTTTCATCTCTCTTTCATCTCTCTTTCATCTCTCTTTCATCTCTCTTTCGCATCACTTTTATCTCTCTTTCAACTCTCTCGTGACCATTAACTAATTCTTATTTTCTATGTAATGCAACTTTTTCACGTAGTATGTATCTAAAAAAAAAGTACAATAATATGGTTGTCTTACATCTTAAAGCCAAAACTGTTTCGAAATGATAAATGACTCTAAGCCAAAGATTTGTATGGGATAAAAAGCTCAAGCATAGATTATCGTTGTCGTCGGTAGTTGGTTGATTTGTTGCCGTTAAATGAGTACACGTGTCGCCCGGCATCTCTTCTTTCTTAAACTCTCTAAATATCCTCTATTATACACTGTGCACCTAAATGTCTTTTTAGGTGGACCTAAATATTTATGCCGAAAAGACATCAATGAAGTTTATTATATTATTTAATTGTGAAATACTTATAGAGATCCACAATGCAGGAGCTCGTAACTAACATTTCCACTGAAAATTATATTTTATGATAATCTCGTTTAACACATTTCGCTCCATCCACTGAATAGGGAAAGTATTACATTTTTGAACAAACCATGGGTAAATATTAGTCCCATTATAGAGTAAAATGGATTGTTCTATGCACTTGTGAATTATTTTTTATCTCCTGAAAAATTTAGATTTTCAACTTATAAGATCCTGTCTTGTGGCCCTCGTTTTATGACATTCTTACTCCTATACTAGTCTTATATGAGTCTTAGTACTATAGCACTCACTGATAATTATCTTTAAATTTATCCACATGTAAAATGTCAGTATAACGAATGTCGAACAGAACTAGGCAATATTTCGCTGTTATTTAAATATTTTCTTGGTAAACTGACATTCTTTACAGGTTTTTTTAACGATTTCTCAAATGCTTTTCATAATACTATTAACAAATACATAACCTTATATCTAATAGTAATTGTCTTATACCTAATAATCTTAGTCTGAGTCTTATACCTAATAATCTAAGTAGTCTTAGTCTTATACCTAATAATCTTAGTCTTATACCTAATAATCTTAGTCTCAGTCTTATACCTAATAATTTTATTTTTATCCCTAATAATCTTTGTCTTAGTCTTATAATCTTAGGGCCAATCTTAGGGCCAATCTTTTTACCTCTGAGTAAAGTTCAAAGTAACAACTTGCTGATTAAACTATAGGGCTATTGTGTGTTATTCTATCAATTAAACCTACATGTAACTTTATTCAGAGGTGAAAAGATCGGCTCATATAGTCTTATATCTAATAGCCTACGTTTACTCTTATACCATCCTAATTGTCTAAGACCTAATAGTCGAGGACAATACGCCAACGACTTATTTATGTTGTTAGACATTACCATGGTATTTGTCAATTTGCTGTATTACAGTTGCGTGGATTGTTGGGAATCAGTAACTGATTCAAGTAGATGGGTATTTAGTCCATAATTTAGCTCATAATAGCAGATTCTCTATACTCGTACTACACTAATTTCAATACAATCAAAAAATAAAATTTTGTCCACCTACATATTTTATTGAATTTTCCTATACCGGCAATAAGAATTTTTGTCTTTTTGACTTGGCTGTGTAGGTGATGGATGTTTGTGTCGGTCGGCTTCACGTAGCCGAAAAGCCGGAAAATTAATAGGTGACATTTGGTTGGTGTTATGGAGGCGATTTGCAAGAAATTAGGATTAACTGAGCGGTATTTACCGCTTGTCGTGGAATTTGAAACGTATTGCTATGGATCTGGATTGTTTTATTTATGTGTACGAGTATAATTTGGACGTTTGGAGTAAAAAAATTTGGCCAAGTGCAATTCGTTCTTGCGTAAAAGTATTCCCGTATTGTAATTGTTTGAAAATAAGCAGTAGAGTTTACTTATTAAATATATTATAATACAATTACAGAATGAACAAATATGACAAAAAATACCTTTTAGATAAAATACTAAAAAAATGAGAAATATTACAGAAAAAGTAGGGGAAAACCGCTATGAAGTGGGCACTTTATTAAAAATAAATAAATAAAGTTTTTATAAGACAATGAAATTATTTAAATCTGCATAAGTATGCTTGTAAAATATACTATTAAAAAGAATAGTCTTATGGTCTAAGTAATATTTAAATTTGGAAAAAGTTGCTTTTGTCCATTTCAAAACATCGATGTATTGAAACGGACAGTGGTGGTTTTGGAAAGGACAGTAGTGGTTTTGAAAATAACTTTCGCATTAAAATACATTAATTGCTTCAAACATATATTAGGAACAGTTAATACAATAAAAATTTCGGATACCCTGAATACCACAAGTTTCATGTGCCCATGAAGAGCATATAAAACACTTTAACCAGTCTGTTTTGATACAATGAAATGCTTCCTTGCAATAAACACAATTATCTTGGTTTACTGCGTTAGTGTCGTCTTTGGTGTTGGGATCTTTGTTTTCCTTGGGCATAAGTTGGTTTTGTTTATTGTTGGGTTTTAATTCTGGAATTCGGAAATATTGACATAGAGGAACCTCATCATTAGACTGCTCACTATCATCAGGATTCTATCCATGACAGTAGTCGTGTAAAGGCAAATCGTCATCACTTGAATCGTGTATGGTCAAATTGTCAGATTCTTCAGAACTTGACTGTATAATGAGGATTTTTAATTCGTTTTTTTTTTGTAGCCGCTGATACGATTTAAATTTTTCTCTGTTGCTGCTTCTTTTTCTTCTAAAAGTTTGTT